AGGCTGCAGTGCTGCAAAGAATCTGGGGGCTGTATAAAAAGTATTAGAAATCTAGAAAATGCAATTTACAGAGAAAGAGGTGTAAGAACAGAGATTATTTAGCTTAGAGATGACCGAGGATTTAATAGCAGTCTTCCCACACCTGAGGGGTGACTGTAGAGGCTTATGATGCTATTCTATTAGCTGCAGGGGACAGGAGGAGAAACCAGTCCTAAACTGCAACAAAGGAAATTAAGGTTGGATATTAGGAAGGTTTTCTTAACTATAAAAAGGTGGTTAAGCATTGGTATAGACCACCTAGAGAGGCTGTGGCTAGGGGTGTACAAAACAGGCCATATTTGATTCAGATTCAGCCCGAATCAGGGACAGTGATTCAATTCGTTGATTCGGATCACTGTCTTGACTTGATTCAGTCAAATCTGAACCTGAAGATTTGATGCCGAATCAGAGAATCGGCAATTCAGCCATAGACACAGCTTTAAATGTTTTTTTCTACATATCTCAAGGTATTGGGCACAACTCATGAATGCTGCGATGGTGGGATGGATGGAGCGTCCCACAGGAGCACGGGGGCGTAATCCTATGTGCTTGGCGGCAAACCTGGAAGTGGACCGGAAGTAGTTTCGGTCCACTTCCTGGTCCACTGGAGAGCATGCTGGGGGACCCCGCATGCCCCTCCAGACCTGGGAGGCACCAGTCAGTGAGCCAGGTACCTTGAGGTATATAGAAAAAAAAAAAAGCTGTGTTTATGGCCAAATCATTGAATCTTTCTGAATTGATTTGGAGGGTTCCAATTTGATTCAGAGAAATTAAAGGGTCTCCTGATTCAATGTAGATTCGGAGATTCAGCTGCCAAATCAGGCAAAATCTGTCCAATCGAATCAGCAACCAAAGCTTCGCACAGCCCTAGTTGTGGTATCCATAACCTTGGAAACCAGGAGCAGGTTAGACAAACAACTTACCTAAAATGGTTTCAACAGGAGTGATCCTGCCTTTAGCAGGGGGCTGATCTATTTACCTTTCTAAGGTCCTTCCATCCCTATTTTTTATGATTTTATAGAAACAATCCTGATCCTAACACTTTTCAACAAAACTTTCTGGATAAGTGTAAAGTTAATATTCATATACAAGGACTGATATTGAAAGCATAAAATGAAATTGAATTTATGAACCTTATACTACTTCCATAAAGGAGACTAAACAAAATACAGTAAGTTAAAAAGCTTTTGTTGTAAATTCTAAGTGATAGAGATCACGCAGCTGTTTGTTCATTGCGGTAAATTCCTGCCATTCCCTGTTTGTGAACTGGAAAGGAGAAGTCAAAGGGAGTATCCAAGTCACTCTTCCCCTTGACTGATTTTGTACAACTGTTGCAGCTCTAAAAAGGCCCACAGTGACAAGGAACAGACAGCTGGTGCCTCAATTACCACAGCCAGAGAAAGAAGCTACATAATACTCAAATCACCACGGTTTGATGCAACTTGCTCTACGAAAAAGTCTTCATCCCTCAAACAAATGCAGCCATATTGTCCAGAACCATGGTTTACTTTGCATCACAAAAAGGGGCACTGAAAAGCTCGCAGGCTTGCTTTAAACTTTTCCGGGGCTGGTTTGGTAGCGTATTAAAGTTTAAAAGCAACTCTTGAAATGTCTATTTTCTCTCAAAAGAATGTTGTCACCCAGTTCCTGTCCATCCTTACTTGACCTCACTCCAGATTACCATTGCTAGTCTAAACTACTTTCTGTAAAACACTCCATTGTTTCTCCCACATTTTTCAAGTGCCAATATACAATCAACCTTCAGGTTCCTTTGCACTTTCTGTAATATCTAAGTAATGCATGCCCTGCTAGAATTCACTTCGATTTCTGAACTGGTTTGAAGTTCTATTTTCAGAAAGCATTAACTTAAGAGACTCCTAAACTGTTGGGGGGCGGGGGGCGGTTTGTTAGAAGGATGGCTTCAACAGGTGTCTATCAAAGCAGGAAAAGCATCTCAATGAGGAAAGCAAGTGCTACAGATTTACATAGCATAACTGGATCACTCCTGGAAGACTTGGAAATTCGCTTTTCAACAAGCAGCCCCGCTATCATATTTCCAGAACCAATAAGGTATTTTACACCAAAATACCAGTTCTAATAAATTCCTGTATGAAGCAACTAAGAAGAAATGACAACCAGGTCAGAAATGTAGATGCTATTACACATGGTGACAATTTTCTTGGCTGAACAAAATAAAATTATTACTGCACACTCCTGTAGTAAGCAAAGACCAAAATAAACCCTGTTTCAGTATGTCATTTCTTTTTCAGTTGGATTACCAAAATCATTTACTGACACCCATGTTCAGGTAAGAATTCTCTTGCATAGTGCAGGCAAGGTCAAGTGTGGCAGGTTAGACAAGCTAGTCTGGCATGTGATTAACACCATGTAATTTCAAAAACCTACTGTTTACCAGGCCACTCCCTGCTTGCTAGGCTTTTCACAGCTCAGTGGTAACAGAGTCTGGCAAACCAAGATCTTAAGTTTAATTCTTTTCACACTAGCGTTTTAAAAGATTTGCCATAGAAGTGTGTGTAAAAGAATTTATATTGCCAGAATTTTCATGCTCTGTTTATACAAAGTATTTCTGGGCATCTTCCCATGGTTTCACTACCACCCCTGCAGCATTTAAAAAAGAAAAACACAAACACAAACCACCACATGCATAGGTATCCAACTGATTTTGTAAGGCAGGGTTGTGTACAACCACAGGTAGAAGACCACAAATGGTACATAAAAGTAGGAAATATCTACATAGCAGGTCCAGTAGATAAACCTAAAGACTGTATCTGAACTGGGGGAGGGGGCGGAAAAACCTCATCATCCATATCCTGTATTTCCCTGGAATTTATAGCATTTGGCAAGAGGGAACTTAAGCCTCTAACTGCCTACAATACACGTTTAGAAAGTCTACTGGTACTATGCTATTACTGCAGATCCACCAGTTTTCCTGCCAGGATAAAAATAGCTCATTTTTGTCACTGTCATGCGATTGCTAGCAGCAATGCAGCTGCTCTAACAGGAGTATTACTTTCTCCTGGTGTAAACAAGGCTTTATAGCATGCTCAAGGAATTACCCATTTTAACAAAATAGCCTAATCTTTTTCCCTTTAGCAGAAGGCAGCTGTAGTTTGTACTCTTCGTTGAAATAGTATTTATATATAATCAACTCAATGCTAGTTTTCCTTTGCTTTAAAAAAAGTGCAGCATGTGGACTGAAAACGCAATTCTTGGAAAGCTAGCCATTTCATAAGCAAACAGGAGTCACTTATAAGAGGCTAATGTTTTTGTTGAGAGGGGATTACATATTAAGTACATTAGATCTGGTAACACTAGTGTTAAAGTGAGCTACAAAGGTGGTTCCCTTCAGTGGTACTGTGTTGACAAACAGCAAGTGTTTTCAGTGACAAAAAAGTAATCTCAAAAAGATGTATGGGAAGAGAGAGAAACTGTAGCAAGTACTGAATGGCAAGTTGTTTCAAGGGAAAGTAATTAGAATTAGCTCTTGAATTTCTAAAGGATTTATCCTTTTAGCTTGCATTATAGCACTAGAAATAGTATGCATTAAACTTCGTCAGATACTACTCCCGAGATAAGCATGACACATTTATAAACAAGCTAATTCTGCATTATCACATTTGTGCAGGATCCATTCCACTTAAACATACCAGCTCTATGCGTTATAAATTGGACTAGTTAAATTTCAAATGCTGAGTTTATGTTAAAACAAAAAATACTATGAAGCAGCAAAAGCTTCCAAAAAGCAATTTTAAGACACATTCCATATTCAAAGTAGTGAATGGTTTTCTCCATGTTTTAGGAGCATTTTTTTCTGACAATTTGTGAAACCACAAATTGTGACAGTATACATTAGAAGAGTTTTTGTTGTTGTTTTTTCCATAAAAGTAAAAATTAGAGATACTTATTTCTGCAGGAAAAAAAATTGCAGACTTCTCCAGCACTGCAAGCATTCAGCTGTACCTTTCATTATTAGAGACTCTTTGGTACATCCACTGTTAATGCATGCTTATGTTTAATGCTGAAGGGCTTTGTGTGTTTTCCTAAATCACAAGCAAATGATCAATTCCAAGGGGAAAAAACAAACAAACAACCCTTAACTTCCCTTTCATGCCAACAGTGACATGGGACTTCTCAAGTCTCGTCAAAAAGTACTCTGGTTATACCTCCCACACTTATGTTGACTAGTGCATTTGTTAGAAAACTATGCTTTGCAACATTGCAGGGGGCAGGGAATGCTCCTCAAAACAGCTGTAATTTTTTCTATGGCAAGGGGTAGTGGAAAGCAGGCATAGGTATTTCACCTATCAATATTTTATTATCTGTTCAAACAAGTTCTAGAAATTCTCAGTGTAAGTTCCACCCACCCCTTGGCTAAACAATATTTTTTGTAGTAAGGGGCAAGGGGGAGAAAAAAAAAAGTGAAATGTAAAAAGGAAAAAGGTAGAGGTATTCTCCAAGCGAATGAGAATATTATATTTCCTGGAATTCTACTACACCTACAACCTATCAAATTCTGGCCTTGGAGATTACTAGATGCATTACAACTGTGCTAAGATTTCATTTTTGTAACAACAGCATCCATCTTTCTTATCTAATATATCCCTAGAATGAATGACAACTAGCTTAACATTGTCATTATGATTTTATGTAGGCTTAAACTTGACTTTGCTTCCTCCTTCCTTCTCTGAACGTTTTCTCTTAAAATTTGTTCAGAGCAAAAGTTCATGTTTCTCCTACACATGAACACACACAAGTACGGTATGGGACTGTATATGGGATATATAATCTTTATAAACAGACAACAGCCACCAGTTTAACTTTTTAAACACAAATATTGAGCGTGCAGAGTAAAGACTGAGCTGTCCAACATGTGTTTATACATTCTCTTAAGTTTAAAAGGGATTTTAAACCGTTGATGGCGAGAATCCCAAAACAAAGAGTAAAATGAATTTATTTTATTGCAAACAAACGTCTAAAGTTTAATTTCTCCACCCACTTTTTTAAAGAGAAAAGGAAATCAGCAGGCTAAGGAGATACACCCATTTAAGAATAGACATGATTAAAAATTAGATATAAAATGGGTGACTCACAGTTTCATTAGCTTACAAAATGGTGGAGTAACTACTACAAGCACACTAGGTATACAGTATTTTCTGGGGAAAGGGTTACAGACACACAGCTAACTTTATATAGATCCCATTAGACAACTGATTTACAACAAGTTTTGTTTAATAAGAAATGGACAAAGCCAGCTTCTTTTCAGAATCAAAATGCAGAACAAATGGAAAAGAATTTATGATGTTGTACCTTCACAAGTTTGAGCCTCCACAAATAATGCAACCAAGTTTTACACTTTAAGAGCTCTTCTACATGCACTCCACCTTCACTATTCACCACTGGATTTCCTCTTTGTCCCGTTTTACAGCACTCCAAAGTTACAAAAAGCCTTTCTAGTTATTGCCAGAAAACTTTTGCTTCCCAAATCCGCCCCTCTCCCCCCTTAGAAACGGTATAGAGAGGATGGAGTGTAATATGAGCTTTTACAGTCTCATGATATTCATGAGGGCCACTATAAGCCTCTACATGAATTTGGTTGCTAACATTTCTATTGTATTGGACAGTGACTCACGACTGTTTCTCAGAAATTGGCGAAGGGGGAAAAAGAAAAAAAATTTTTTTAATAAGAAGACACCAGATACAAAGCAACGTTTTACTTTTGTTGTGGTAAAAAAAAAAAAAAAAAAAAAAAAAAAAAAAAAAAAAGTCACATTTTACAGATAAAACGTAGAACCCTGAAATACTGACACATTCTCTTATCGTGCACAATGCTGAGGTTCTCTTACGAATCACTTTAAAACTGCAATTAAAAATGTACAAAAAAAAAAAAAAAAAGGAAAAAAAAAATCAACCCACAAAGCTTCTAAAAAAGGAACCCGCAGGCACTTCCTCTTGTGGAATGTTTAAAAAGTTAGCCTACTAAAGAAAACAGTCGACTTCTTGTGAAGGTTTTGGAGAAATATGTATCAGTTCGTTTATTTGGGTATTCAATAATATCCTTGGTGATAATGCTGACTCCATGGCTTCTGACCCCAGAATTGCTGCAACAGATCGATAGAAATAGTTAATTTTAAAATTAGATGTTACCTCCACCTCATTTTCTACTTTAAATAGGTATATACAAGTTAGACTAAGACAAGCATTTTAAAAGAACTTTCATTTGGCAGTAGTTTTCCAAAAACATATAGTGGCATATTATAAAATATCCAGTGAATCCAAGTCTGTAACTGCCACTAACATTAATAAACAGCAGCTCAAATTTAAGATAGCAGGCATCAGATTCTATCTTGATATTCTAGGCTTTCTGAATAGAAATTAAGACAACATACTGCCTGAAATTACAGCAAGATTTTACTATCTAGTTTCACCTGACAAATCATCCATATGGATATTTGAAATTATACACAATCTTGTGCAAAGTAACAGCCAAATTCCTATGGCTTAGGGAAAGATCTTAGATGTTGTTACTTACCCCCTGCTGCCACTGGTTGTAGCCCTGAGATTGGTTTTTGTAGCCACGATTATTTCCCCTTCCTCTGAAATTCTGTAACAAAAAAGAAAGTTTAGGAGCACCTGTATCTGTTTAGCCCACACTGCAAGAAGGTTTTAAAATCCAGTGCATCTGTCCTTCTACAAACCTTACAGTCTCTCACAAGTATTTAGCTCAATTGTCACACTTCCTATTTCCAGAAGCTAAACTGCACTAGGAAAGCTAAAAATGCTCTCCCCCTATTGTTTTAGGGAAACAACTGTCATAAATTGCTATAAGGATAGTTTCTGCTCAGACGAGGCAGAATACATACATGCCATTATGTCTTTGCTGTCTACAAAGGCACGTAGACAACGAAGTGGCATGCACTACATACATGCCATTATGAATAGAAGGCAGGGAAGTCGACCAAGTTTCAGATACAAGCTATGCTATGAAGTAGTATTTGAGAGTTGCTGTCAAAACAGAAAAAAGCAGTATTTTTGCCTAACATCATAGGCAAATCTATGAACTAGGTTTATTATAGCTTGGGCTCCATCTACTGGCTCTTCAACAATCCAAGGTAAACAAAACCTACTTTTTTTAATACATCAAGTCTATTGATCACAGGCAATTAAATACTTATGACAGTTTTGACAGAGGCAACTGTTACAAAGTCTTTAACAATTAACAAATTTCATTTAAACATATTGTTTTGCTTTTCAGTAAGTTTAACGAATGTAAGAATGCCCAAGACCACAAACTCCTACAGTCAGACAACAGGCATCCTAACTAAAGAAAAGTTCACTTCGACCTGTCTCTCCTGCCTACATTAAGCAAGGTATGCACTGCTGTCAAGAAGTTAAATGACTGAATAGTATCAACACATTTATTTTGTTCCTTCCGTTGTTTTCTCCTTTATTTGAAAAAAAGGATTAGAGGGTGCCTTCCAGCTGTACGGCAAGGATAGTAGTCTATATGTGCTGTAACTAGGTTTTTTTTGTTTTGTTTTGGGGTTTTTGTTTGTTTTTTGTGTTTTTTTTTGTTTTGTTTTGGTTTTTTTTAAGTCTGGATAAGGCAGCTCCCAAACTTTTCACAAAACAAAGTCTCCATATACGCCACAACAGAAGTATATTTATTTACATTGTTTATTAAAATTAGTGTAAATGTATGCTCAACTATTACATGTTTCTTTACAAACTTCTCTCAGGTAGTCTCTCTTTCAGTTTAACACAAAAGCTGTTTCACAAAATTTCAATGGTTACAAAACTTAAATGGTTAACGTGAGGCTTGTACATCATATATTACTCCCCAGGGCAGTAAATAACAGCCTGAGTTTCTCCTGAGCCTGCATAAAAACTAGTGGATGGGGAGAACTGAGGCAGGATGGTACGGTTTAACTGCTTTTGGCATGTATAGCACTCACTGCAGGAATACACTATGAAGATGTGTACTGATTCAGCTGCATTCTAGGTAGATAGCGAAGACACCAATACTAAAACACTTTGTATTCCTATTAAACCCAGACAGTCTTGTGAGTTACCAGACTAGTTGCATGAGCTCTACGCATTTTTCACTGAAGTTTAGAGCCACTTCTGTATTTGGAATTCTAGGCGACATGCACTGTACTAGGATGCTAGAATTTCACACATACATTAAAAGCAACAAACAAGAACAATTATCAAGCTTCTACGCTACCACCCTGTACCAAAGGATTGGTTTCTGTTCGGTCACTGTGAATTAGTGTACTTTGGTATCCAAACATACAATTCTTTGAAAGACTCTATAATAAAAGAAGCTAATGTTTGAATACCCAAGTTGAGCTATAATAAACATTACCTGGTTGTAGTTCCCCCTGTTGGGCATTCCACCTCTGTTATAATTTCCTCTGTTTGAATAGCCACCTCTGCTTGGAAAAACAGGACCACGAGGGTATGGATAGCCGATGGCACCACTGCTGCCACCACCACCACCTCCACCACCACCTCCACGCTGAGGCATATTGCCTCCCCTTCTGTTGTATCCACCACGGTTACCAGGTACTGGTTTGTTTGTTTTTTGGGTTTTTTTTTGTTTGTTTGTTTTTTTTGGGGGGGGGAGAGAGAGAAAAAAAAAGTTAAACAGCTGCATTTGAACAATCTATCCTCAATACAAGACTTCAGTTAACTGCCAAGTCTTATATCTAGGGAAAGGAAGTTCTCTTTTGCTCTGTTGACTTATCTAAGTAAATGAACTTCAAGGTAAATACCTAAATAGATAATCTTTTGATGTTTTATGTGAAGGCTTTAGACGCAACAGATGTGCTGTACAATTAACTATTAAATCCAAAAATGAAGATTCAAGATTCAGCAAGCCATGTGAATAAGACTGTTTCAGGATTTAAACACTAATAAGAAAGCTACCTTGTTAATTTAAAATATTTGACCTCAACTTGAAGCAAAATTGGAGTCGGTATTTTCCCCAGCATAGCCGTAACGAGTATTTCGCATTTAAAAATATTATAAAATATTTCCTCAACATACCATTTGATTTAACAAATGTAACGTTTCTAGGCTTACCACCTCCTCTGAAGTTGCCACGCATGTTGAATCCTCCGCGTCCCCTCTGTCCTCTGAACTGATTTTTGTTACTCTTTTTGTTCTTCTTTGAACCAGTGTTCTGTTTCTTTTCTGGGGGAAGAGCCTTTTTACTTTCTTCTTTATATTGTTCCAAGAGCTTTTGGGCTTCCTCTTTTTGTAACTCTACATAGATTATTTCATCAAAACATTCTGCTACCTCTGGCAGTGTGAAGTTCCCTACAAGGGAGAAGACACTGAGTGTTCAATATCTATAGATACAATAAAACCCATAACTCACCCTTCCTATGAAACATAGGGAGGAAATTCCAGGAACCGAAAACTCTAAAACGTAAAGACAAAATACTTAAGGACAAGGGGGGGAAAAAATAGTCAAGGAGTTCCCAGTACCATTCAAACATTTACCTACTCAATTTTTTAAACCTCCACTCAGTATACCAGTGTCTGCCAAACGTTAACTTTTTAAATAGGGCAACTTTACATCAAGACAGCTTTGTGCATCTGCATGAAGCATATTAACATAACTAAGTAGCATTAAGGACTGCAGCAGAGGGAACACAGTATAGTGTTGTCATACAAAAGTTACAATAGTCTTCCAGTTTTGTTTTGTTTTGCTTTTTTTAAGTAGCCATTTTAAAGGTAAGTAAATTTGAAGTCTAAGAGTTTACATTAATCTTTGAAATAGATACTCAGCATCCTAAAGTACAGTATAGGATTGTTCCATGCCTTTCATTTTGAGAACTGCATGCTCTGGAAGATCTTTTCCCTCCACCTCTGCCTTCTTTTGTGTTCTTTGCTTGTAGTCTTCATCTTTAGGGCAAACAACAACTGCTTTGCGCTGGAAGCCTGCAAACAGGCACATTTTTCTCCTCTGCGCAGCTGCAGACACATTTGTCTGAAAAAAATGCAGTAACTTACTACACGTAGCTGTCATGTCAAAATTAAAAGGAAGTCAAACTTATGGTGTATAGACTTCACATCTGTACAAGAACTTGCAATGAAGTTTACAGGTAAGTGGAAGTAAAGAGGTCACATACGTAAAGTTACACAATCTTACAACTGAAATGGGGTCAACACTATTCCCCCCCCTTAGCCCCATAATTTCACAGAAACTTAAACTTCATCATTTGTAGCAAGAGAAAATGTTTATTGTACAAACTCAAATGTTTGACTCATCAATGAGACATTCAAGGAAGTGACTGAGTTCATTTAATAAAGCAATAGATTCTAATTTGTATCCCACTTAATCATTCCATTCTAACTAACCCAGGATTTAATATAAAAAGAAAAAACAACTTCTCAAACTGAAGCCTATACCTGATCCAAAATGAAGTTCCGCTTCTTACGAGCAGCAATCTCAATGAACTTGCCAAGACACTGTGGAGCCCTCTGCAACAACGTGTTTAGTTTTCCAGTGTCAGCCATCTGCCGCTTAAAACCTGCAACCTACAGAAACATTTCCCAAAATTAAGGAAGTGCTGATCATACAGATTTGGTAAAAATTGAAGCAAGGTAGAAACATTTTACAAAAACAGAGTAAAGAACAGAAACTAACTTAGCCACTGGACCACTAGTTCTAACTAGCATGCACTAACAAGTCAGCCAAATAAGAGATGTAGTATTTAAAACAAGACATTACATTAACATTAAGAAGCTTACTCTACTTCCAGCTAGTCTCTTTTTTTGGGTGGTGGACCCCACTCATACATAACTATGACTCACCATCATTTTGTCCATAATAGTATTTGTTCCAAGGATGTTGTATTTTCCAGGGTTCTCTGCTGCATGTTTGGTGACCCATGTTGTTTTTCCAGCTCCAGGCAAGCCAATCATCATTACTACCTATTAAGACAATTAAGATATTATTACACAGCTTAAGTGGAATCTTAAATGAAAAAAAAGGGGGGAGCCTTTAATGGGCACTCTCTCACAGAAACTTTGTTTATGGATACATGAAGTTAAAGGTGTCTATAACTGATCCACTGTAACTGTTTAATGTATCTACTCAATTCCACTACGCAGAACCACTAACTCTAAACCTGATAAAATAGCTTTAAAGTTAGTGATTTAGCTCAACTACACCTATATAGGACCAGATAAAGTTACATTAGTTCAAGCTGATGCACAGTGGTTACATACCCCTCCATACCATCTAAAATGGTTTAATACTATGTTAGACTTATCCATAGCCTCTGTATGGTTACATTAATTAAAATGGGTTAAAATGGGTTTGAACAACAAAGGAACATAAGAAGGCATAAGGGAGGATGAATCCAAATAGATATACCAAAGTAAAAAAAAACAAAAACCAACCCAAAACACCTTTGGAGCACTAGCACAAAGAAATTAATCTTCAAAAGGACCAAGTTAGAAAATCTTGCCTCTAAAAGGTTTGTTCTCTCAAGGTAAACTATATCAGACTTACTTCACAATCTTTCTTTTGATCAGGTCCCTTTGGTCCACGAACCCGATCTTCTAGTGGAACCTTCTGAATGAAGGCGTACTCTTCAAGAACAGAAAAGTAGGGTTCATCTTTCTGACCAAAGTTGAATTCAACTGCACAGTTGTGGC